TTGAAAATATGATTTTCTAAATGGGGAATACGATTCCCAGTTGAAGGGAGAGAAAAATTTTTGAAATTCACCCCTTATTCCGCAATCTTTTGGGCGTCCATAGGATGGATCTCTCATCCCTTCAGTTCAATGAAAGACCAACTCCTTGAATGAGTGGCAAAGATGAATGTTTAGCTCACAATACTAACTTAAAAATGCTATCGCGTGCTATGAAAAACATATTGGTTCTTGATAATAGTGAGCTACTGATGTCAAACTTGGAACCATTATTCACCTTGATTGAGGGAGAAATCTTTTTTGTCTTCAGAACTTTTGATTATAGGAAAAATGGGATCAAACAGCGGATCATTGTTCATTGTCGGAAGGGTGGATGGGTTGTCGAAAGTGGGGAGATTGTTTTGGTTTGTAAGGTTTTCTCATCTAATAGGAGATAACCAGCAAGGTATTATTCAGATGTTTCATTTTGAAAATTTAAAGAATATTGGGTAAAATAATCTTTTCCATCTTTCTATTAACGGATGTTAAGGGCAAGGGGGATTTAGTCATTTCTCAGAAAACTAAACTTAAAGGTACTTTAAGATAATATGTAAACAATAGGGTAGAATTAGTCAATTTCCTAAAAGAAATTTGCCCAAAGAGAAATTAGTATGCTACCTTTTTTAAGACTAGGGGTATAATCAGGTTTAGGAGTCTTAGATTAGATGTCTTACTTTGAAAATCTGTTGATGGTACAACTTTGTAAAATTTAGGGCATGTTTGGTAGTGATGCACGCAACAACAATGCCTCTCATTTTGTATACATTTTTTAATGTTATTTCATGCCAAATATGGACCATCAAACGTCGCATAGGTGAGATTGGATCTAGTCACAACAACATTTGCAGTTGTGCATTGGGAACATCTCCCTTGTCTTCCAAGGCAAGATGTTCCCAATGCACGTCTGCAAAGGATGGTGTGGCCCTATGATGGGACATAATCCAAACTCCACATATGTATTTTTTACAAAAATATGGGCTCATTTGGGTCACATGGATATGGCTTTAGAATTGGAATTGGAATGATTCATTTTTTATTCCAATTGTTCCGTTAGGAAGAATTGAAATCTGATTCTCATTCTTACTAGAATGACATTCCCCCGTTTGAGAGAATGGTCATTCCCTCCCCTCCCCCGATAATAAAATCCCATTTCAGTTTATTCCAATTCTGATGTTGATTCCTGCCTGAGCCAAACAAACTATAGAATAGACCATTCTGATTCCAATTCCAACTATGAACCAAACAAACCCTATGTACGAATGTTACTTGAAATTGTTTGAAAATCCCAAAAATGTTTGAAAAACCCTTAAATGAGTTGAGATTTTTTACACTTAATTCAATGTATGCCAAGGTACACTCTCGATCACATTGCATCACATCAACATTTGCATAGTAAACTATCTAGCATTTGTGAGATTATGAAATGGTAGCTTTTGGCCCATTAATTCATTGGACGCTAGACAAAAAGAGAATAAATAGATTGAAAAAAAAAACAACTCTAACTAGCCCTTTCTTTTCTCTTGTCTCTACCAATGTGCAACAATGATCAATAGAAATGGTCAAATGGAGTTCCCAAACATAGGTCCCAACAGCTTTTGTAATCCTGCATTGGAAGCATCTCGCCATGAAAGACAAGGAACTGAGGGAGATGTTCCCAATGCATGGCAGCAAAGGCTATTGTGACTAATTGTTAGGACCCTTTTTGGGGCGAATTGGGATCTGCTCCTCACACAGGGCGCCTTACACTGAACTCATAGGCACATCTCACCAT